TTTTTCGACACCACGACATAGTTACACACACAGAATGACAGAGAAAGCGGGAGAGTCGTTAAGTGGAAGGTAAAACATCAAATGAGCCGGTATAACCTAACAGAGCCGGGTAGTGACACAGCATCTGTGTTCTGCACAGAGCCCATCCAGTTCAGCCAAGACCTTTGTCTGGTACCCCATAGTTACGTGGGTTAGGAAACGCCAGGCTGCTTGCAGATGAAAAGCTTTTGAGCATCTGTCACCTTTCCTTCCAAATACACAACAAAATTTGCACCATTTACAAGCTCAAATTTTACTCATACACTAGTCTTACAGTTATCCAAGTTGACCCAAGCTCCCTACGGCTAACATATATTAAGTTCATAACAACAGGTTTATTTAAAAATACATTTTATTTACAAGACATTCCAAGTTCATTTTGAAAAAAAAAATATACCTTTACATAAAACTAAGTAATTTTTCCAGTAATAGTTAATAAAACCACAGTGTGATTTACAGTTCATTTGTTCAGCAATGATAGAAATTACATTTTGGCACATTATTGAAATCACATAATGAACAGAAAAACTGAAGGAAACTTTTAAGCAACACAACTCCATAAATGTAACAACTTTATACAGAGACATCCTCATATCAAGGTATCACTGCTCAAATACAGTATTTATCTTTCCACTGTACAGCAGGTAAGTCTTAGAACCTATAGAAATCTTCACAGCATTTGGGTTATCTTTTCAGGAATGTCCCTTTTACCTGCTTTTCAACTAGTGATCCAAGATTTCCCCTAAGGCGCTAACAAATGACTTACGAACCCTAGTGATTTCATTGTACTTTTTCAGGTGTAGAACCCAAAAAAGTTGTTTCAGGTGGAGTGTTCTTAAATAAATATACATATTTCTATCTCAGGATGACTACTTAGATAATTCTTCCACATAGACGACAGGACAGAAAATAGTCCTTGAAGTAGCCATCCATAGACTCTGGGTGGTGAACTTCAGGGAAAATTTGGATGCCAGGATATTCCCTTCAAAGTTCAGAATAAGAGGGAGGATTCAGAACAGTAATTAGTGTTATAACTGGGTAGACATGAGGGGGGAGGGGGGGGGTGAGGAGGAGGGGGAAGAATAGGAAGAACTAAACAAGATCAAAAAGTGGTTTGCAGAGGTAAAGTGTTATTACATAGCAAAACCAGAAAATAAGTGATTTTGAATTAAATGGAGTGCAAAAATTAAACCAGTGCATAAAAGAGGTATTTCTAAAGTGTATTACAGGTACATCAGCATGACCAGAAGACTAGCAAAACCATGCTGCCTTTATTGAAGGGACGAAGAGACATTAAGAGGAAAAAAAAAAAAAAAAAATCACAGTTCCACTACCAGTCAAAACAAGTATCACTAAGAACACAAGAAGTCAACTGAAAATTTGGCAAAACAAAGGCAATACTCCTAAAAGTAGCATCAGTTATTTTGGGGTTTTGGGTTTGGTTTTTTGGTGGTTTGTTTGTTTGTTTGTTGGTTTTGGGTTTTTTTTTTTTTTTACATAGAAAACCAAAGGCAAGATCTGCATTTAAAAGTGTTACAGAAGGAAGTGTTATGTGTTAACTTCCAAACTGACATGTTTGGTTAAAGATATCATATGAAAAAGGTGACCAAAATAAAATATTGTCATTCACTTTAAGAAAAGGCCTGTGACTGATGAAGGCCAGTAAATTGCTTTTGCATTTAATGCTACGTTAATTTATTCCAGATTTCACTCTTGCTCTGAAACTATCTGCCAAGGCAAGCCAATGTGTCGTGGTTACACAAATGACCAGTTATGGGCCAGAGGGCCACACAAGCTGGACGTTAGGTTGAAAGTCACCTGCATTTTGAGCAGATGTCCTTTGCTACAGACGGTAACGGGCAGACATGGGCGACCCCTTCAAGGAAAGAAGTGTCATGTGGCGTAGTCAGAAGGGAGCAATTGGAGAGGACAGGGTAGCACAATCCACCTGCAATCGTCAGGAATTTTACATTACTGAATTGGAGGAGGGAAAAAAAGCAATTAAGCTGAAGAGGCCAGAAAAGAGACTTTTCAACAGTGCAATACACTACAAAACTGAATTTAGAACAAGTGCCCGTAGATAAGGGCAAATACTGAAATATATGGTATTTCAACATGAGGTAAGCTTACTTCGAGAGCATGAGAACAGATACGCCAAGAACTGGGAGGAAAAGAAACCAGTACAAAATACACGCTGCTTGGAATGAAACCTGCAGAGGTAGAGAGGGGCCACCCAGGACAGCCTAGTCGTGACACACTTGAAGAAAAGTATTTTCTTCTGTGAGTCCAAGGAAAACTAGGATGCTGGGTCAGAAACCTTAGATGGATACCCTGAAAGTCCCTACACAGAAAAATAACATTCACCTCATACATAATATAGCTCTGTTGGTTTTGCTTGCTTATGTAATAAAGCAAACCTTAAATTTGCTTGCTTTCTAGATCTGAAGATTTCTATAATCCCCAGTATTTTCCTACTTATTCACAGGCAACAATTATAGTACATTCAGTCAGACAAGAAAAGTGTTTAAGAATGTTACTTCATTGTATTTTCAGGTTACAACACTCTTCAAAACTTTAAAAAACAGATAATCACAGTTTTAACAAACACTATAAAGACAAAGATGGCCCATTTTGTCAAATGCCTCAATGTTACACATACTAGTTTTCTCTAATTCCAGAGTAAACAATACTGCTATTCCATCTTTCAACCATTTAATAAAATGTATATACAAAACAATGACCTGATTTAAGACACAAATGCATAATTACAAAGGGTGCTTTCTTAGAGGGCATCTTGGAAGCAAGTTCTCCCTTAGACTTTGTTGGTATTTTGAGAGCTTTCTATTCCAGTTCTCAGAAAAGCTATAAATATTTATTATTTACATCTAAACCCTGACATTTAAACATCATCATAGGTGAAAATAAGAACAAAAAGAACAAAAGAAAGGGTTGTCTTACTTTTTTTCCCCCACATGCTTTTAAAAGACAGTAATTCTTAAAATGCTGCCTGATTTACATGATTTCACGCAGTAACTGCCAAGCCAGACCCTGCTGCTTTTACCTCTGCTGCTGCCAACAGAATCAGACAGACTGGAGGATCAAGTTTTTAGTTATATTAACACGCAGTTTAATTCATAAAATGCAAACCTATGATGAAGGGCTATAAAAATATATTAATTCACCTGAGAATCTGTTCAAAATGGGTAACTACAAATCCAGGAATCTGCTATTTCAACTGCAATCTCTGCTTCAGTAAATACCATTTTCCAAGCAGCGAAAGAGCCTCCTGTGTGTTTTAGTATTTGTTAACTTACTGAGGACAATTGCATTTTTAAGGAGTTGGCTGCTTTCTAGCCAGCCCTACAAGGAGGTCCCGGTATTTTCCCAGCTCAGGCAGGAAATCAGTTTTCCCTTTCTGTTAAGGTGTCAGTGAGGTAAAGACATGGCTATTTTATAGAGGTGTCCCCATAAATAAATGGATAAAATAGTCTGCCCAGGCCATGCAGACCACTGAAAGGCTGCTTTGGACTGCAAAATGCATTAGAAAGCTTCTGGATCTGGTCTGCACAGCCAGTAAGGCTAAACACTACACTTGGCGTGAATTAGGTAGTGAGTCTCCTCTCCAAGGAACCTGGAGAACAGACCTGACCTAAATCCAGCACTGGTGACATGGGCACATCATCTTGTTTTCCTTAAAACACCCCTGCATGCCTTAAAAAAAAAAAAAAATGCAAACAGCAAAAAGATAAAGGAACTGCTTTGCTAAATACACTTCGAAATACACCTTTCGGCAGAGGGAGGAGGGGCAGGGCAGAAGGAAGGGCTTAGGCCTTTAAAACAAAGCAACAAGAAATAATTGAGACTAAACCAGGAAAAATTCCCTGTAATTTTTTTTTTAAAGCTCCCTCTAAGTGATAAAACTGCATATAAAACTTTAAAGGGGCTTTCTTAATTAACACAATATTAATTTATGTCTTAATAATAGAACTGCAGAATTTTAACTGTTCATAATAAACACATTAGCTTATTTATTCAGCATGAATAACGTCAGACACTCAATGTTGAATTTACTGCAATCATCCCACACAATGATGAATTAGGACTGTGGCTATTATAACTTCTGTTCTCAGGAGGAGAAAAAGAAAGAAGACTGAGTTGTACAATCACAATGGTGAACAAGATAAAAGTTAATTGGATGACTGCCTCCATTTCCCATTTGCTAGAATCAGTACAGACGTTAGCAAGTATTTCTTCGCTTTCACGACAAGAAGTCTATTCTTCAGCACGCTTTATCTGTGATTAGGCTAGGACTCCAGTATTACTAGCAGGGAAACAAAACCAGCTTCTGCTCTGTCCCTAAATATAGGAGTCGATCAAGAAAACGCAAGCCAAAATTCCTGAGTGCTTCCCCTCCCCTTCAGACACTCATTCATCCACAAGCCCCACTCGCCAGAAGCACAAGCGTCACTGTAAAACACAAACTGCCTACGCCAAAATGGTTTTTAAGGACCAGTAAAGCATCTCTACTGAAGTCCTTTATAAACATACAGTACTTCAGCCCAGTACAATCGTTAACTGGCCACAGGGCTTTCGGGAAGCAGCTCGCTTCAGCAGAACAGGCCAGAGTTTCATTCCCAGTGCCACTGGCCAAGAACTGCAAGCATCAGTGCAGACAGCAACACGCCCCATCTGCCCCAACAGCAGAAACTCACACGGAGTTTGGTAAGGAACTGTGTTAGGCTGCATCAGGAAAACCTCAGATGAAGGCAACATCCTTCGTGGAAATATTTATCCTTATTTCAGATACAAGGGGGGTTTGGGTGCGTTTTGGTTCACAGCTAAAGCACAGAAATCTGTTTGCCACGCCAACTTCAGCTACAACCACCAATGACAGCCCCCCTCCCTCCCAGCCAGGATAACGTTTGTCCCATGAAAACGTTACGCAGAGTAGAGGGAATTGCCTAAAGTCGCGTGCTGCTCAACTGGGCTTTGCCATGAGACACATCACAATTTTTCACATTTTTAACGCTCTCCTCTGCCAGCGGGTAGTCAATAGGGATTGCAATATCATTTTTACTCGAACCATTGTCTTTGTGCAGCGCAGGAAGGCAACTATCGTTTTTCTCGGTGTAGCCATTAGTTTTAGCCAGGGGAGGCTCCCGCTGACTGCAGCACAGCTGAGAGTCACAGGCTTTTGAGATGCAGGGTGAGCTGCAGAGCAGCTGGGAGGTCTTCTGGTCAATGTACTCGGGCTGGATGGTCACAGAATGGATCCCTGCTTCGTGGAAAACCTTCCGTATTTTATAAGCAGCGTCTTGGTAATCAGTAGGGGTTTGGCACTTGATATGAAGAGTAGCAATATTCTTCCCACCTGCAAGCTCCCAGACATGCACCTCATGAAGGCTGCTAACCCCTGGCACACGAGCTAGTCTGTCAGCTGGAAGACAGGAGAGAGAGGTATTAGAGGCTTTGGTGTACTAGCCCTGTACAAAAGCAGCAATGCTCCAAATTGCACTTTTTCGAGAGCTGTACTTAGTAAAATACATCTACTCCCAGCTGCCTTCAGTTCAGCCTCTAGATGACCACATGAATCACCCTTCCTTTTGGGTTCACCCCATCCCTCCAGCTCCCTAATGGCAATTTACCAGCCATTCATAGAATCAGCATCAGAGCAACCCTTCCTTGGTCAAGGCCCCATATCTTCTGGTTTCTTTAGCCCTGAGCGTGGCGGAATTTCAGAAATAACCCCACAATTAACCAGCGTCAACACTGCCAAAGAGCTACAAAATTAACCAGCCTTCATGGAAATTTCTAGGCTGTTTTGGAAGAAGATGGGAAAATAGTGGGTTGGGAAATATTGTAACTCAATGTTGTTTCTTTCACAAACACCCCACACAAAGCATTAACAGCTCAAGACCTGGTATTTTTGACGTATTGTTGGAGTACCGCATTCTCAAAATGCATGCTTTAACTAATCCAGAGAGATTTGACTCATGTTGCTAGGACACAGGCATGTGACTATTTCTCATGGTTCTTGAGAATTTAGAGCTATTATGAGTAAATAATCCAAATGTGTCGTTCCAGAAATAACATACGCATTGAAATAGATCATTTAAATTAACAGCATTTCAACAACAAAACTTGACTTACTCAGTAGTTGCATATTAACACCTTTGGGAACCATCTGCAACAAAATAATTGAGGTCTCCTTGATAAGCGGGAATGCAGAAGACAAGATGATGAACACCATAATTATTGACAGGCTTGGATCGATGTAGCACTGCCAATTACATGGAGCATTCCCCAGGGGAAGTACATGGAAGATTGTAGCAGCAACTACCACGACCACAGATCCAAGTGCATCTCCCATAACATGCAAAAGAACACCTGAAACAAATGGCACAACTTCCATTAGTATGGGGGTTTGGAGGTTTTTTTCCTGGGGGAGAGGGGAAAGAGCAAAGATGCATTTTTTTTCAAGTCTGTTCTACTTGACATGAAAAACACAATATTTCGAGCACTAACTTTATAACCAAAGTTTTCAATAACAGCTTTCAGAACAGAACAGCAAGGGAAATACCGACTCTGAAACACAGCTGCTGAAGCAGGCTGCATTATTAAACATGTAGGGTACACCAGCAACTGCGGCCCAACTGCAATGCCATGGCAACACAAAATGTGGTTGCTTAAACGCCTGCACATTATTGAGAGATCCTGGCACATTAAATCTCAATTAAAAATTCATGACCAAATCTATCCATTCTACCCTGGAAGCTGAGAGCCACAGACCACCCCCAGTAACAGTTATTCTCCTCCTTCAGCTTCTATGACACTGCTGAAATCTGAAAAAAATGACGTGAAACCTAAGCCTGTTCCTATGGATCCACCCTCAAACTCCAATTTTCAGATCAAGCTTGACAACTATTCATATTAAAACCTTGTCCCACCAACACTACTAGCCTTCAGACCATGACACAGGGAAAAAAAAAAGAAAAAATCAGAATCTGGTTTGAGAGTCAGTCACTTGGACACCACGGTTGAGAGTAATGCTGGTTACCACTTTTTACATCATAGATGTGGTTTTGCACAAGAGGTAAAGACACAAAACAAGTCCTTATAATAACACATTTTTAGCTGCCCCTTTAACTGCAATGACCAAAGTAGTCTTCCTGCTATGAAGTTACAATAATCTAAGAATACTTTATGCCCTTTTTTTTTTTTACTAGGTTACATAATGTTCCCATCATTGCTCAAATGCACCCCAGTTTTGTCAGTCTACTGTGCAGACTCAGATTTCATTCCAACCCCTGCCTAATTCCTAACATCTCTACATACATGAAGTTAACTTGTTTGCCAATACTTTTTATTTGGAGCCCATGAGAGAACAACATGGACCATGTCCTTTTAGCATCCCTATAACAAGGGCTTTCAAGAGTTCACTCCACTTTAATCACTTCCTATGGGCTGGAAAAGCTGCAACAGGCTCCCTCCAAAACTCATTAAAAACACAGCACCACTTTGGTGATGCTGGACACTGGATTAGCCCTACAGCCATGCCTGTGCTACCATTTCTTGCCAGCTCTGTGCATGAACATTGATCTTCTGTGTGAGAAATTAAAGCGATAACCACGGGAGTTCCTCCAAATTGCTTGGGTCAGATAAGAAAGTACAAGCTTTCAGTGAATCCAGTGCTTTCTGCTGGAGTCAGGCACGTTCTGCCCCACGTGGCAGTCTCCCACGGGGTTTGACTCCTCCTAAGTGTCACAGTGTTTCCTTCTCATTTACAAATACTCCTGATTCAGCATGGGCTATCAGTTGTTGCACCAACAAGAGGGACAGGCAGGATGCAATTGCCAAGGCAACTAACTAGAGAGCACAGCTTAAAAAGAACAGGAAAATGTTTCAGAAAGACTTGTTTTGAGTTAAGGGGGGGAAAAGCATATCAGAATTTATGAATTGAGAATACAGAATTTGTACAATGCTTATTTTACATTGACATCGTTGATATGCACATCTTGGTTATACATCACATAGTGAGGGGCTAGACAGAAATGAACCTGTTTCCCTGTAGACCCCCAAAAGCTGTGTTTATAAAACAGAACCGAAAATTAACTTTAGTCAATAAAGTCAGCACAGTAAGACCACGGGCAGCTCAATGCTTCCAACAGCTTGTGCTGGAAAGCCTGAGCTACTCTGCATACACTCAAGAAGTAAAAGGAATTATTTCACACTACAATAATTAAACCCCCAGTCAGGCAGAACATCTGGATCCCTGTTCCTCTCACTTTTAAAACCAAGGAACTAATTCCTCTGCCAATCCAGTTCATCCAGCATGTTTTTCAGGGAGGCTCCGATTCTATAATGCACAGAATTTTTTGACAAGTAAGTATAGCTATGTAACTTTAAAGCAGCAAAGAAAAACATAGATTTTGAATAAGAATTTTAAAGCCACGTATCTGTAACACTGGCTAAAGAAGCAAGGACCATAAAACCAGATTTTGCAAAGATGACATACTAAAGTTAAAATAGCACTTAGAGGAAAAAAGTCTCTTTTTTTAAATCAAAGGTGACAGGTATCTTAAAATAACTAATATAAAGCTCCTTATCCTACAGCCATTCTTCAAAGTTTAAGCACTACTGTTCAGGGAAGTAAGGCCGCATTTAACATATCCGCTTGGCTTTTCTATCCTTCTCCCTCTCTGAAAGCGATGGTTTGCTTTGCCTGCTCCAATAATCTTACCCCTATAACGCCACAGCATCCACTGACAACGATTTCTAGGCATTCAGGAAGACGCTGTGGCTCTAGCATGCGGTTTGATTCCCACAGCATCTTCCCTTACAAACGCATTTGTGTGACTCTTGAAAATGCTTTTGGAAGACAGCTGGACAGACACACACACACAAAAAGAAAAAAGCTAGTGCCTGACTGCCACGCTGACCTCTTAAGCTGAATTCATGTGATGCCAATGTACATGACTCTGGAGGAATATCAGATGCTGATAGGTGACCATAAAGAGCCTGGAACTACCATGCTGCTTCAGCTTTCTGACAGCCCTTTCCTTGTGAGCAATCTTTAACATACTACTCAAAGATACCTGCTTTTGGTCTGCTCAGAACAGGCGTGTAAACGTGTGGCAATATAAACACCTGTACAGAGAGGGAGAGAGACACCTGGTGAACGTATTCCTAGAAGCAGCTATACAGTTCCACTCCACAGACACCCAGAGAGCTGCTGAATCACAGTGTGAGAAGGGCTGAGCCTGCCACAGACGCTCCCAGGGACAGGTTCACAGTTCAAGGACCTGCAGAAACACTGTGCTGAAGCACCAGTTTCAGCACCTGTTTCCACGTGCTGACGACAAAACATCGTTAACCTCAGGATTTAAAGAAATCCTGTTTTCTGCTCAAAGTAATTTTAAAGTTGAAAACTGCTCAACTACCACCGTAGTGACGCTCAAAGAAGTGGGTCACAGCTACCTGCTTTACTTTCCGATAAGGCCTCTAGTGACTTGAGCTTAGGGCAACAGGCTTTTCCTCCTTTCCATAGTATTCAGCTTCACACTTCTAAAGAATTTTAAAAAATCAAAATGCAAACACACTCTGAGCCAAATCAGCATCACACCATTTCATAGAATCATACTATTTCGTTATTATCTCTTTCACACAACCAAAACCTTCCTGCTAAAGATAACTGGGTCCATATACGTAGAAGAGTCCTGAGCTTTTGCTCTGTTTCTTACTGATATTCAGGGGGAAAAAAAAAAAGCAAGCCTGAAATGGATCTCAAAGTTCATATAACATGAGCAGTACACCCTGGTGCTGTACCTCTGATGTTCAAGGCTTCAGACTTTTTCTCCTTTTTCTTCTCAGGCCCCTCTTCAGGGCTTTTGTGGTCATTTGGCGAATCACCTGCATTCAAAGAAGAAACGCTGTGTTGTGTATAAGTTCTACAAACAGAAAAAACATCGTCCTTCTCAAAACCAACTTATTTCAAAGATGACAAGAATTAGACAAAGAAAAGCCGCCCAGCCAAGGCGTGAGCCTCCCCC